ACGAAGAAGCAAGGGAGGCGACGGAGGAGGCAGGAGAAAGAGGAGGGAACAACGGGGGACGAGCAGACGGACGAGGAGGAGCGCAGGACAAAGAGGAAGCAGAGGAGGCAGAAAGAGGCAAGACGGGACGCGACGCAGAAAAAGGGAGACGCGGGCAGAGAGAGGAGAGGGGAAGAGAGAGGAGAGAGACAAGAAGCGAGAGACACAGGGTCGGAAGAAAGAACAGGGACACGAAGACCAAGAAACTGGGCGAACGAGAGACATGAAGCATGAGGTGAAACGGGAACATGTTGCTTCACACAGAAAAGAACCATCATGATGCGGTTGCCAGCGAAGGGCATGGTAGCATGAACCACATTCCCATCAAAGCAACAGGGCTGTCTGACATCCAGAAGTCTGCCTTGTATCTGATCACCATAAGATGCCACGGAACAATTGGAATCTTCAACAATATAGGTAGCACGACCTCGGCAATCCATTATAAATAGTTCTCCACCGGTCCAGTCTCCACTGGCCCATCCAATGCTTGGGCCATAGTTGTTGGAGTCTCTGTGTGGAATAGTGCGAACATTACGATTGATCTGAATACTTGTAACTGCCAAGCCTGCGAATTAGGGAGCATCGTGTAACATCCTGAGAATCAATTTTGTAAGACCAGGAAATCGGAAGGTGTTCCGTGTAAATTGCAACCGACCTCGCGACTGTACTCCGGAATACAAGCCAAGCAATATTTGGTCCGCATGTGTCTGCTCTGTAGATCGAACCCTCTTGCGACTGTAATTCATCCATACTCGACAGGGGATGCGATCAAGAACTTGATATAAGCATCCAGCCAGCTCATTTAATGATTGAAAATGGAAACCATCCGCATCTACATCAAAGGGACTACGAGCAATGGCCGGCATGCTATCATTTGACCTGGCAAAAGACAAAAAGAGCACTGCAGGATGAAACAGACTTACATGGAGTTGCAATACACTGTCCTTGCGAACGAACTGGCTAGGCTAGAGCATCTTCTGGACTTATTTTTCACTCATGCGATCCACGACGGAGTGCAGCACTCAAAATGTGGGCGAGCAATTGATTGAAGCCGGTATTGGAGAAGAAATTAGAATCACAGGAAGAAACTCCAAGGACGAAGCAACAAGCACTTATGCATCACGTGCCCAAGATGTCCAGAAGACAGCAGTTCCTGCCGAGACACTACGACTTGATCGAAACATCCAACGACCATCCTGGCCGTGAATCAAATCCCCGAGATGCCCGAAGGTCTGATCGGAGGCGTGGGCAGCTTTGTAATGAGTGTGTTGCCTCACAAAGGTCCATCCTAAAGCGGCGCATGTCCTGGTGTCAACTTCTTTCCCACCGAAACGTCGAGCACCAGTCATCGACTGCCGCATAGCATTCAGATGCTCCGGCTGGGAGCCGTCGAGCTTTGGAAGCCGAATTGCAGGTTTCGGCCATGACATTCGACCGTAAAATCCTGTGGATGGCACCCACGTGCGATCCGCGCGATCAAAATATGATGGGCGGATAAGATCCTGATTGACGATCGACGACAAATCCTGAGGAACAGTGTTATGCACAAAGGGCACAGCAAAGCAGGTACCCGGATCATCCGGGAGCATCGTCGTCAAAATAATGAAAACTCCATACGGGGCTTCATGAGTCCCAAAATCTGCACATCCGGTGTCTGGATCCGTGTTGCTCGGGAACAGCCAGTACGACCCACGACCGGCCTGAAGATCTTCTCGAACAAAAGGACGGAGACGAGGAACCGAGGACGAAGCACGAGCGAGATTCTGAATCTGCTTTTTGGCATTCGGTCCCATGGCAAAGTAACCAGTGGCATCAGACCAAGAGAAATGAGCATGATGATCGGCTCCTGCCAGGATGGCAGCTATCCATCTCTCCTGGAGATCATAAGATCGGGTCGGCAAGACAGGAACAACAACTTCAGCTGCACTTTTGATGCGGTTGGAATCCTTCATAATAGCCGACCGGAAATGGAGCAGCAATCGTTCGAGATCACACCACTGCTTTTTGTGATCCTTCCCTGCAACAGTTGGGTCAAAGCCGTACAGATTCATGCCTGCCACTGTTTTAATACTGTAAAACTGCGGCCACACCGCATGTTGCACATCCGGGCGATCCAACATATTCGAGGTCTCAAGAAATTGCACCCAGAGCGGCTGTCCGGAACTGGACTCAATATACACCCATTCCCCCGAGGGTGCAGGAATGTCCGGGCCTTCCGGAATAACATACTTGTCCGAGCTGGCATCAGCAATAGCGAGCTTTGCGGAAGATGCCGGTTGGTCCTCAATCTGTTGACGACGTCTCGGGAGAGGCGGGCATGGTCTCAACACTGGGCTTCGCGACCTGGTGTCCCGACGTTCAGGCCGACTGCCAAACATACGAGTGGAAAAGCTTTCAAGGACCCGATTTGCCATCCCCTCATGGTGAATGTGAATAGACTGAGCCGTGGATCCACTACCTTCAGTAAGTGTCAAGAAAGGAGTGGGAGGAGGAGCCCGGGGTATGGCCGCATGCACAGGTTCCTGAGGGAGTGAGGGAGTGCAAGAAGAGGAAGGAGAGGGAGGAAGAGCTCGAAGGTCTCCAGAAGCGCTTCCGGTAGGCCGTGCCCATTCTGGCAACGTGTCGGGCGGTGCAAGAGCTCGAGTCACCTCTTGGGCAACCCTTCGTCGAATATACATTTCCACTGACCCACTGACAGGACCTGGAGGGCCCGAAGACTTCGGGAACAGATTCAGGTTGTCATCCGCGGGCATCGCCAGAAAAGCGGAATGCTACAAAATGAAAATAACACCTATCTTTCGAGCACAAGCTACAGAACATGCATAAGACTCCACGGACCATGTGCTGTCACCGAATGCAAACAAATCAAGCCAGACGTGCAAGAGCTTATTTATGCGACAGTCGAGCGAGCACGATTGTTGAACTGGCACCTAACCCGTCTCAGGATGGGGGCCATCAATGTCGGATCAAATCCATGCTTCAGGTAGGACTGCAAAAGTTGGTCAAGATCGGCTTCACGTTGTTCTATAGGCCAGGACGCACGAGCAATCAAGTGAGCTCTAGATCGAAAACTGCTCAACAGTGTCCTTGTGTTGGCCGCAGATTTGAAGTGCAGAAATTTCCAGGATTCAGTGGGTTGAACATACTGCACTCGGAACTGTTGTATGTCCACATGGAAACCAAGGAAAGGTTCCCATCTTCATACTCCAATACGATGGGCGGTATGTACACATCCTGATGCAGAAAGGCCTGCACGGCAACAGAACTGGCGTTTCGATCAAAGATCAAGCTGAGCCGATTGTCCACATATCTGACAACGAGGCCATACGTTGGCAAGCGAGCGGACTCAAGGAGACATTTGCCGAAGTACATATGCTCATACAAGCTCACCACGGCATGGCAGGCTGCCGGAGAGAAATGGCTGCCCATCGGCGCTCCTCGGATCTGCTGAATAGCCTGCTGTCCGACCACAAATAGGTTGAACTTGAACGACACCTGTACAGCTTCCATGAATAATCCCATAGGAACGGCCGTCCTCTTGTCATGCAACAGACAATGTCGACCACGGATGGTTTTCATAACTGACAGGTTGTTTGCCAAGTCCACGGTTACCACAACACCCTTCAAGGCTGCATCCAGGTCGTCATCCGCCACGTCGTAGAAGCGACAAAGTAGAATACGAAACGTAATCATAAACCGCTCCCTCGGAATGCTCACGAAGAAACCTGACAAGTCTTGATTATGCATGGCAATTGTCCGGCGGCCGTCCTCGCGACCATGGCAACTGTTTTCAAAGAAGGCATGTATATTTTGCCACAACAAGATTGCATCGTTGTAGGATCTCGTGTGTTTTGTATTTCACAACAGCCGTCGGCATACCACGAGGAAAAGACCAGATAATCGGTAAGCAAAGTTTCCAAATATCATAAGGAAAAGTCCGAGGATATATATTTCAGAATCAACAATATACAGGGTATGAATTTATGAAATATTCATCCGGTCTCGCAAACGCACTACACTCGGACCCCTCCTTCTTTTGGCGGTGGCGGTAAAGCACTCGAGTTAGCAAGATACCGAAGTATCGGACTTACCGAGATGCATCCCCCCCTTCTTTCGTAAACAGCGTTGTAAGCAACGACCAGTAAGGAAACATAAACACAAACATACATCCTGGAAGGGAGGATAGCATCCTGATGCACCACTGGAAAAGGGTGCCAAGTGAACCACAAGCTCTCGCCAAGAGAACTCGTAATCACCAGCACTTGTGACTCACAGAGCCGACGCAGTGACTAGGGTGACGCACACCGAGGTTTGTACCAAACAATCTTCGTGAGTCCAACCGCCTCACACATGTGAAGCCTGGAGAAAAGTTTGGCGCACACACAGTTATGCCCGATAGGCGCGAGATAGAAAGAGTACCGACGCATGCATGCAAAGACCACATGAGCACACGTTGCTCATGGGTGGGAGGGTGGGGTCTTTGCGAAAAACATGTGCTTCGACATGTTGCTCTTTGGGCCGACAGCTGTTGTGAAAGGAATGTCAAACGCAATTAAGCTGAGTTGCATAAAAACCGCGTTGTTGTTTCATAAAAACAAGCTTGAGCAAGCACAAGGATCGTTTTGTATTTCACAACAGCCGTCGTCATACCACGAGGAAAAGACCAGATAATCGGTAAGCAAAGTTTCCAAATATCATAAGGAAAAGTCCGAGGATATATATTTCAGAATCAACAATATACAGGGTATGAATTTATGAAATATTCATCCGGTCTCGCAAACGCACTACACTCGGACCCCTCCTTCTTTTGGCGGTGGCGGTAAAGCACTCGAGTTAGCAAGATACCGAAGTATCGGACTTACCGAGATGCATCCCCCCTAAAGATCTGCCACAGCCAAAGAAGGAGGAGCGCTGGGACAAGAGCCCCCAATTGAAATCGTGCTACCACTGACTGGCTGCATTCAAGGAGGACTCCACAGGAGACGCGTTCCCGCAGGGAAAACCCGCACATCATGGTCAGACTGCCACATGCGCTTGACTGGGTAGCGATAGCGAAAGGTTTCAGCGAACTCGGGCAACAGAGGGTCCGTGCCGTTCCAGCGGGACAGGTAATCTGCCTCCTCGTTGCGGAAGCCCGAAATGTGGTGCACGTCCAGGGTAATCCCGTGTCTAAAAGCGACAAAAGCCAGTTGCTGAGCGAAAAAGCAGAGCGGGGATGACGTAGTCATCAAACGATTTGCCGATGCCTGTGCAGAGGCATTGTCGCAGAAAGTACGCAGCTGAAGCCTGCATCGTCCGCCCGGGCAAGTCTCTGCGAAAAGAAGTGCCAGAGCAATTTGAGCCAGGAGCTCCCAGCATCCAATATTCTGAGTGTTGTTGTCGAGAGGGATGTTCAAGTCATCGAAATCCGACTTCTCAAATCGCTCGCTGAACCACAAGACGGGTGAGCCCTCAACACGAAGAAAACCACCTATCCCGATAGAAGAACCCTGAGCACAAGCATCCGCAGCTAAGGTACAGGCAATGCTCCGTGGAGGAAGGTGCAGGCACTGCTCCAATGGGCTGCGCATGCACCACGATTCCCAAAATTCCATGAACTTGCGGCTGCATTCCGAAAGCTTGCGCTTGGGATGTTTGGGATCAGAGATACGCATATATATATATATATATATATATATCCGACGTGAAGTCAGAGGAACTTTGTTCAAGTCCTGCTTGGAGTGCAGCTCAATGTGCCTGGCAGACAAAAGACGAGCACCTCGTGGAATAGCTGTGCCTGGAGGTTGACTGGTGAACCGCAGGTTATCATCCAAGTACTCATGCAGCAAGTGCCAATCCACATGATGGTTTGTTGCCACCGGTCTACGCAGATCCGAATACAAGAATGCCATCCGGGGGCGGAGTTCAGGAGAAATCTGGCTCACCCACTGAAGCAAACCCACCGTTTTTTCAAGATCGCAGCGATCCACGTTGCCTGGCCGCAGAACAACCCGCACTGAACGAAGAATCTTCTCAATCTTGTCGGTTGGCAGACGGAAAGTCCCTGATCTGAAGTTGAATAGCCATCCTATCCACTTCACTCTGTACCCGCACTGCAGTTTGTGCCACGATAGCGGCACATTGTAAGCTTGGCAAAAGCTGAGGATGAGGCAGCCTGAAATCTCGATTGCTTTGTTACCTTGCCACAGCAATAGGTCGTCGACAAAGATGCCTAAAGCGTGACACAACCAGATCAAGAGATGAAAGGTTCGGATCATGAAAGCAGACAATCGTGCCCACCACAGAGCACTGAAACCTGTGCCGAATGGGCAAACTCGGTACCACAGGTGTCGACCGTCCTCAAGCTTGATCCCCGCCAATCCACGGTCCTTCTCCCGAATGCGGATCGTTTTGTGAGCCGCGCGAATGTCCAAGCTGAAAGCTGACAAGTCCTCGTTGTTCATGCGAAGTGGGAATGCAGAGCGTACGTCTTTAAGCGAGGGCAGACAGTATCGCTCATTCAAGAAGCAAGAGGAGTTGACTCCAGAAACCGTCCCATCCATGATTAAGCGCGGCTTGCGATTGTCCGCCAAAACCACGTTGAGCTTGGCAACTGCGATGTTCTCCCAACGCTGCTGAGCTGAAGCAAGATCAAGCTCTTCAAGAAAACCCTCTGAAATCTCCTTAGCAATCAATTCCGAAAGGATTTTAGGATTTTCTCTGGCCCCCTTCCAGTTGCGATCACAGATCACAAGCTCCGCCGGGGTTTCGGAAGAGTCATCCTTGTCCTTGTGCTTCGGAACGAACACGTGACTGGGCGGGATATCCGAGAAGAAGCCTGTGCCGCAATCAATGCTGGAAAGAGTTCATCATCTCTATCTTGCAAGGCTCGAGAGAGGCTTTGTAAGGCCAGCAGCGAGTAAGGTTATTTTCCAACGAAACTTCCGTTAGCGCGCGTTTGGGAAACCCTAACTGCGCTGCAGAGGAACCCTGTGCAAAGCACTCTCTCTTTTTTCTCCTAGCGGACATGGGGGGTCAGTTCGGGCCCGATCTTCGGGCACTGAAGAAACGATGCCACTGGCATCTTGACGGAAAAACTCGACCGCTGGTCGATGGTAAGGCGAACGACTGGTTCACCCCCCTACAAGGGACTAACCCGTACAACGGGAGGATAAGGTGAAACATTCTCTGACCTACTGGGTCACTGCAGCTACCAGTTGCTACACTGTAATCATGACGGCCTACGGCCTATGTACAAGAGCGCACTCTGTGCTGACGCCTCTCTGCTAGAGAGAACATAGGAGCGCTGCTCCTGGCAGCTCTGCTGCGTATGCGATGTCCCAGACCCCGCATACTATACAGGGTGTGGCGGGTGGGATAAAAACTTTTGGATCACAGATCCAACTTCAAGCCGAAAGCTGCACGGCAAAGTTTGTCTAGTGTCACTCACACACAAGTGAAAACACTGTTTTCCTTTTTCGACAAACTTTGTCTACACTTTCGGCGGAAAATAAAACCCATTCACGCACGCATGATGGATGCTTATTTTCCAACGAAACTTCCGTTAGCGCGCGTTTGGGAAACCCTAACTGCGCTGCAGAGGAACCCTGTGCAAAGCACTCTCTCTTTTTCTCCTAGCGGACATGGGGGGTCAGTTCGGGCCCGATCTTCGGGCACTGAAGAAACGATGCCACTGGCATCTTGACGGAAAAACTCGACCGCTGGTCGATGGTAAGGCGAACGACTGGTTCACCCCCCTTGAAGGCACTCGAAGCCTTACTCACCCCCCATTCAGTCCGCGCCGAGTGACAAAGCCAACGGCACTGCGTTGGGCGGCAGGTATTGGCGCGCTGCGCCTAGCCTCTGAGTCTCTTCCCACCAGTCTCTGCTGGGGCCATCAGCGATGTTGCTGTCTGTCGGGACTCGGAAGAAAGCAGCCCTGCACTGCAGAGACTCTTCAAAATCCACCGCTTGCGAGACTATCGCTGCGCCTTCTACCTTCCGTGTGAAGGCCTTGTGCAAGGAAGTACGCGCTGCGTCATTGTCTATCCAGACGAACAGGTCACTGCCTGCTATATGCTTTGCCCACAGCTGAAGGCTAAGCAAATAGGGCAACAGCTCGCACTCATAGACCAACTGCTGTTTCTGTGCCCTGGCAACCCACTGGGCTGCAACCTGGCTGCTGATCTGCAGCCCCCAGGTGAAGGCGATGCCTTCTCCAATGAGCACTGCTCCGAGGCCACACTTGGGCACCAGTCGCGGGGTCTCCCACTCGCAGGCCCCGTCGATATACAGGTGCACCTTCCTGCGCGCATGGATGGACACTGTCCTAGGCGGTCCGTGCACGACTCGTTGCAGCAGGAACGCCATGGCTTGGCACTGCTGCTCTGTGAGGGGGACCTGCTCTGGTCCATCCCCAAGGACGTCGCCGACGCAGATCACTGCCATGCGGGTGTTGCGGCCCCAGGCTTGCTGCTCAGCGAAGATGAGCCTGCCGCGCAGGCTCTGCGCTTCCAGGGGGGACATGCTGCCGCGGGCGAGGGCCTCGCTGAGGACCATCCTCAGCTCTGCTGCACGCGTCGGCTTGTTGCTGACGGAGATTTCTCCAAGGTGCTGCTTAGACAAGTCGACTCGCACGCCTAGCACGTCGAAGACTTCGCTGAAGTCGGCGTTCTTCTTGGGCTCTGTGGCCACTTGCCAGCCCAGCTTGTTAAAAAGATTGGACACTGCCAAAGTGACGAGCTTCGAGTGCGCGCTGCGCGTAAGAACTGTGAAGTCATCGAAGAAGCTCGTCAAAACCAAAGCAAGCTTCTCGCGGCCGATGGCTTTCAGCGCTTCGCTGCAGCGGAGGAAGGCGTGCACGGCGGCCACTGCGCCGAAAGGCATGCTGTGTAGGTGGGCGATTTTAACCTTCCCACTCTGTGGGTCCACCATGACGATGCACGCAAATTTCTTGTGTGCAGCCTGCACTGCAAGCTGCTTGTAGGCACTCTTGAGGTCCCAGGTCCTACCTACGATGCGGTGGGCCTGCTCTGCGGGCACACCCTGGCGCAGCCACTCGAGGCACACGGCGAGGAGCTCGTCGATGCTGTCGACTTGGACCTTCTCTGTAGTCCCGCAGCAGCTGTTGATAAAGCTGCTCTTAAAATTATCAATGGGGCGCACTTTGCCCTTTTGCACAACGCCGAAGCGAGACGATACTATCGTCTCGTGCAGTTTTTCTGGCGAGAAGTCCTCCAAAGAGAGCCAGCCCTGCTGGCCTTCCTCTATTGTGCTTTCCCAGACCTTGTCCGAGACCCCGTCCTGCGAGGGGCGCAGCGCGCTGCGAATGCCGCGCATACCTATACTATGGGCGTTTTCCAGTATTGATTTCTCATCTAGAGAAGGAGGCAGGATCTGCACTGGCCACAGCCCACTGGGTTGTATCCAGCCAAGCAGGGGAAAACCTTCCCGCACCTGCTTGGCCAATGTCCTGTCCGGGAAGTCGATTTCACTCAGAAGCTTTGCTAAGGCTATAATACTGTCTGCTTGGGCTTGGTGACGCTGTTCACCTGAGCGTCAATCGAAGAACGTGCCCCGGCCTCGAGGACTTGACACTCTGTGCAAGTTCTCGAGATATGCATCGATGCCAATGTGCGGCGCTTGGCCAACAGGACAGTGTCTTCATGCACTTCGGCAGAGATGGCGCGCTTGAGGGATAGAGGCACTGCCTCAATGTCCCTGGCTGGGTGATCTATGAGATGCGCTCTGCGCACCCAGTGCAGTGGCTGCAGCGGGATGGCGACGATTGCTTTCTGGGAGGCTTCGATCCACTGGATGAGCCTAGAGCCTTTTGGGAAGCAAGACCACGATTGTGGTATCTTCTGGGGAGTCTTCCAGCCTCGAAAGCACCGCGCTGCGGGGCCTTGGAGAGTGACTTTGTCACTGAAGTCTGGCTCGTAGCGCAGGCGTCGCAGACGCTTGCGGCTGAGAGGCGCTGCCTGGAGTGCTGCTGCGCATTGGTCTGCCGCGAGGGAGACCCAGACCGAGCTCAGCTGAGCGGTGTATGCGCTTTCTAAAGAGGTAGACCACACTGTGGAACCATCCACTGAGGCTCTGCCCCAGGGCAGATGTTTGTGGCCTCCGTCGCAGTCCCTGCTTAGACCGGAGAACCAATCCAAGTTTGAGAGGATTGCAGTACGCTTGCGGCGCATGCTTCCGAACATGCACGCGTCAAACTCCACTCTGTGGGCTGACTGCAAGGCCTCTCTGAGGCAGGGCATCCTCCACAGGAGACTACGAGCTGGATTTTCTATGGACCAGCAAACGCCGCGCTGAGATAGGGAGTGGCAACACTGTGCCATGAAGGCAACTAGGCTGTTCGCGCTGCGAACTCGTGCTGAGTCTGCTCCGCGGAGGCCTTTAAGGCCCGCTGGGCGCGATTCGCTGCGCAAAGGGCCCGGCGCTCCCGGCCTGGGAATCTCTCTAGCTCTGCTAAAGGTGCCGCACGGTGGGGCCCAGTGGACCCATCGCAAGTCTTGGTGTGAGAGCACTGCTCTCAGTAAGTTGCGACCCAGCTGCGTACAAAGGTCGAGCTGCAAGACCTTGAGGCCTCTGGCCTTGGTCTTGTGATCCACTGCGACGTTCGAGAAACCTTTCTCGATGGCCGCCTTACTAAGGCGACCGAGGCCGCAGAAAACTTCCACGAACAGTGGCGGACGAGGGGCCGCTCGCGGAGCAGGCTCAGGGGGAAAAGTGCCCAGAGCATTGTCTGCCGGCACGCTGTGCTGTTCAGACAACAGGAGCGCTGGGGGGTCGGCGTCTGCCGCGAACCCTGCTTCAGGTGACGGCGCTGCTGTGGCACGTCCTGGCTTACTTGTTGCAGGCGGGTGCAACGACAGTGCCGCGGTAGGAGGGTCAGGGCTCTGCCCTGCGCGTGGTGCGGTGGCAGGAGGGCCCAGCGCTGCTGGGCGAGGAGCTGCGGGCCCAGTGGCCAAGGGCTGTTGCGGCTCTGCCGCGCTCAGGGCAGGGGGGCCTAGTCAGGCGGCCCCTGCGTCCTTGGGGCAATCTGCGGCTCCGTGTTCGGAGCTGCCACAGCTCATGCACTGATGCAACCCCCTGTCGCACTGCTTGGGGGAGCCGGAGGTCTCAAGGTCGCACCCGCACTGCAGGTTGAAACCGTAACACAAGCGCTTGCCCGACTTGGAAACGCTGTTCAAGTGGCGAAGCTCCTTTGGCATGCTCGGCGGCCTGGAGCGCTCTGCGCTCTCGTGCCGTTTACCCTTGCCCTTTCCGCGGCCTTTCTTGCCGCCTTTTTTGCCTTTGCCGGTCGTGCTACGACTGCGGTCTTCTTCGCTGCGCGTAAAGCTGCGGCCCTTGCCCTTGCGACCCCGGTCTGCCACTGGCGAGGGGAGGAGGTGCAGCGTAACGATACTTAGGCGGCCGCTGTGCTTATAGCATGTATAAACGTGGTTATAACTGCGGCGGTATGGGCTTCCTCGTAGACAACTTAGGATCAGTTATAACTATTCTGCGAGAGCCGATTCTGGGGGGTTTGCGAGAGAGCATTTTTTGACCATGTGGGTTGTTGTTTATCGGCTGTTACGGGTATAAAAACGGATCATGTTTTGACCACTTGGGTTATTATTTTTCGGTTGTTCCGGATGTAAAAACGGGTTCGCGGGTATATATTTTTCGCTTTATACGGATGTAAAGCGGGTTTGCGGATTGTTATTTTCGGTTGTTACGGATGTAAAAAACGGAGCATGTTTTGACAACTGGGTTGTTACTTGGGTTGTTCTGGATGTGAAAGCGGGTATGCAGCTTGCTATATTTTGGAAGTAAACAATGCGACCATGATGGGTTGTGCAATGGTTTGCATGCAGGTAAAAGCGAGTTTGCAGGCAATGGTGCATCAGCTCATTTTCCTCGATCCCCTCGCGGGAGGTCAAGCCCCCGGTCATGCACCATTACAGCCGCGGCTATATACAAGGTTGCTGACCGAGCCATGGGCAAGCCGCAAGCTTGGAAACACATTGCATGCAGGGCACGCCTCTGCATTTTGTCGAGAGTGCAGCGGCAAACCGCTCATCTGGAACCAGCTTGCATGCAGGGCGAGCCTCTGCATGTCAAGTTTCGCGCAACCTCACGCTTTCTGCTCCTTCAAGTAGGACACAACGCGGTTCCAAGCCTCCTCGGCAGTTGTCGCTTTCCAGCTGAAAGCCTTGTCTTTCTTTTCTCCCAGCGGCCTCACTCGGTAGGCTTGGGAATTCACCGCCGTGTAGATCCTAAAGTTGCCCACACTGATGGCATCTCTTGCCTCCGTGCCTGGAAAGTCCAATACTTTTCCAACAGCTTTGGCTTTGGCTTCTGCTTTGGCTTTTGCCTTGGCTTTTGCCTTGGCTTTTGCTTTGGCTTTCGCCTGAGGCTTTTCCGCCCTGGCTGCGGCCTTCTCGTCCTTTCCTTGCTGCAGCTGCTCAGCGATTTTCAAAGTTATGTCATCCACGGCTTCTTCCGCTTCGGGCGGCTCCAGAGCAAGCGGCTCGGCGGCTTCCTCCTTGCTTTCCTCCTCCTCCGCCTGCTGCACAGCTTGCTTGCTGCGCTTCTGGTCGGGGCTTGCAGTCTCGCTGCCGCCCTGGCTGTCTTCACCACCGTTCCGGGCGCCTTGCAGCATCTTGAGTGCTGCTCCGCTGCAGCCTGCAGAGAAGCCTCCATTGCATCTGCCTTCAAACAACTGCAGAAACAGCTGGGACATAGCCTCCTGCAGGTGCGTGTCCCGGCCTGTGAGTCGCAAAGGGGTCTTGGCCCGATCCACGCTGCTGTGCGTCTTCCGGGCTGGCAGGGCGGAGTCCACAAGGACCAGGTCTGAGTCTGCCAGCGGACTGGCAGACGGGGTTTCGGTCCCGTAGGCCTTCAAGTAAAGCTCCCGTGGCAAGTCAGCTGGGCTGGCGGGGTAGAGCAGGAGCTTGGAGTACTCGCCTTGCTTTGCAAAAGCTTTCACCATCGTCTTGAAGTCTTGCAAGCAGCTGTAGGCCTGCTGCGCATTGATGCTGAGGGTGTTGATACCCCCATCACCATTGTAGTTTGCGACAAACAGCACCACAAGAGCATACTTGCTCGTTCTTTCCGAAGGACACGTCAGGCCGATGCTCACGTATCGGCGGGCAAGGAGCCGAAGCTTGTCATCCCAAGACCGCTTCGGGTTACGAAGCTGCTCCCACTCCGTCTCAAGCAGGTAATTCTCCAGATGCCTGCACTTCTGGAGCTTCTTCGTGTTCTTCTCGGCCTTGGCTGCAACTTCCTCAGCAGCCTCGCCGGCAGCGTCGGCCGAAACTTTGCTTTGCAGCGCCTCCACCAGAAGTTCCTTCAGGTTTTGGCGCAAGCCGCTCTGCGTGATCTGCGCCAGCAGTTTGCTGGCTTGCGCAAAGCACATGTCCGGAGCGGACAGCAAATCTCTGATTACACCATCCACCATCTTTCGAAGATTATCCTCATTCTTCCCAATGCCGCTCTTTTCGAGGGCTCCTAGGAATTCCAAGGCTTCTTCCAGCCGCTTCTGAGACATGCTGCAGCTAGGCGGCTTGGGGACAAAGCAGGGCAAGGCCTCTGCACCAAAAACTGCGAGCCGGCGTTGCGGCGTTGCAGCCAATAAATCAGAGCAATATACCCAAATGCATGCACACACGACAGCTATACATCACTTGCACGGAGGAAGCCTGAAGAGTTTTCACGTGCACGGTCACACTGCAGTCGCTGAGTTCAAAAACCAGGTTGTTTTAAAAAAGCGGGCAAGCCTCGCCGTGGCAGGACATTGCCTTGCGAGTCCGCGCCGTGGCCTTGAGGCTGCGGAACCCTCAGGAACTGCTGCTACTGCTGCAGCAGCGCTTAGCCGGCTTCTTCTTCACTGGCCCAGCAGCCACGGCCGATGCAGGCCTCTTCTTCACAGTTGCCGACTGCTCGGCGGCCGACGACTGTCCATCGCTCGCAGCCACCGCCTTGCTGATCTGCGCCTCAAAGCGGCTCGCCGCCGCTGATCCCTGCCAGGGTGCACATATTCTAAACCCTCGTCCAAAAAAGTGACCAAGAGTTCTCTATAATGTGCCAGCTTGCCTCCTGCCAGGGCCTGCACGGGCCGTCGTGCAACAACTCCTGCTTCTCCGACATGGCTCTCAGGAGCGGCCCCAAAACGGCCATCATGAGAGGAACCTCATATAGACTTCCGATCAACATAGAAAAAACCACTGTATACACACATCAAGATCATGTATATATGAGACAAGACACCGGGTAGGCGTTTCCGGACGCCTTCGTCCTCAGAGCGTCGCTCTCACCCTGCAGGGTGTTCGGCGGGAAGCCTTGCAGAGCCATCCGCTCCTCGCACCGCAAGAAGCGCCAGAAGGCACGCTGCTGCGGCCCCATGTGCAGGTCGTCCATGGAGGCGACGAAGAGGCGGGTGTTGGCCGTCGTCAGGGTCGGCGCCACATCAAAGAAAAACTTCCGAGGGTACGTCATGCCCTCCGACCGGTCAAGCGGCCAACACACCACAGAAGCGGTGCTGCCCTCAGCGGCCAGCTTCCGCAGCGCCCGCCAAGCATCGGCCAGATTCTTCTTCAAGCTGGCCGTCAGCTTGGAGACGTCCACGGGGGGCAGCCCGGGTGCCAAGAACTCCCGAAGAGTTCTCCGGCCGAAAGGCCCCAGCGGCTGTGGCACGCCGCCGTAGCCTGAGCGGATGCCGACGAGAAAGACTCTCGTCCTCTGCTGTGGCAAGCCATAGTCCACCGCGCTGAGGCAGTGAAAGCCCCAACTGAACTGGGCAACCTCCGCACGCAGGAGCACCTGCAGGGAATCTATACAGAAAACCCCATGGAACTCGCACCTGTGGGACAAGCCCTGCATGATGCATGTCCACGCTGCAGGGAGCAATGCCTCCGCATGTGCATGCATGGGCATGGCCTCATGCATGATGAAACCGCATCCTTCCGCGCCTGCATGAAAGGCTCATGCTGCCCAGGCAGCTTCTGCGAGATGCCCACGACATTCTCGATCACCATGGCGGAGAGCTCGCCCACCATGATCAACATCACCGCGAGCTTGATCACGGCAATGAGGACCCAGCTCCTTGCGTCCAGCGTGGACTGTCGCTTGCCTTGCAGACTCCACGGCGGGCAGGGTGGCCCGCTCACCAGCACGTCCACGGGCCGCTGGACCTTGTCCATGGAGCGGGCAAGGGCAGTGATGTCTCCTGCCTTGCCCGCATGGACAAGCGTATCTGCAGGGAGGTGGTCCTGCAGATAGCGCTCGTACCTGCCCTCGACATCATGCACCATGGAGAAGCGTGCATCCGTGATGCCGAGGACTTGCAAAGCGTGGCCGCAGCCATCGATGCCCGTGCAGGGCACCGCCACGTTCAGCGGCCGAGTGAAGACCGGCGCTTGCCAGCCCTCTGGCAGCTCACATGTGAGCTCGCTTTTGGGCAGCTGCTCGCCTTCGGGCAGCTCCACTCCAGCATCTGCTGCCGGTTTCTTTGCCGGAGCCTTGGCAGCTGGCTTCTTTGCCGGCCTGGCCGACATGCCTGCAGGGGACAAGCCTCCTGCTGCTGTGCTCTTGAACCAACGCCGCGGATTTACAGCCTGTGTCATGCTCATGGCAAACTGAATTTATGCATGGGGCTGGGACAGATTGCAAGGGCATATATAGGTCCCGTTGCAGAACACTTCTTTTAAACCCTCTTCTCCCCGGGGGTTTTCTGTGCACGGCGCTGTTGGCCAGTTTAGCTCGTGCAGGGCAAGCCTCTGCAAGGCTCAGTCCTTGTAGTCGCAGCGGCAGTCGGCGGAGATACACTCCAGGGCCTTTCGATCTTTTTCTCCCAGCATCGGGGAGATGTAGCATCTGTAGCAGGACAAGCAGGCACAGTGCCCCGATCCTTGCTCCAACCACCACATCTCGTTCGCAAAAAAAAAGGCGAAGCTCTGGCTCAGGGGCACCTTGCCGTCGGGCCTGCAAGCCTCATCCTGCAGGCGGACCAAGGCGTGTAGGTCTTCTGGCCGAAGCTTTAGGTCCTCCACGGCCTTGAGGGCTGCCTTCACGTGCCTTTCCGGCACGTCCTGCAGCACGTCCTGCAGCACGTCCTGCACCTCCTGCGCAGCCATGGCGAAGGAGGCAAGCCTTCCTCTCGCAGAAAGTTTTCTCACTTGAGCCTTCTGCAGCTCAGGAGCGCAAGTTTGAAACCTGCTGAAAACTTGCAGAAACAATATCGCCTGCGGCACTCTTATCACTTGCAGCACTCTTATATATTTTTTGGCACCTGCAGGCTGCGTTTTTTGTGGCCCTGGTGCTATTTCCGGACCTTGGTCCTATTCCGCATGTGCAAGGGCCTTGCAGAGGATCTAGAACCTATAGAATTGTTCAGCATGGCTGGGGTATAGAAATCCCAGCAAAAGCCTCGCACATGCACCGGCGGCAGGCGAAGCCTTGCCTATTCAGGCCTAGACCTTTAAAGCCCCTAGGCCTTCAAGGTCTGTCACCAACCACACCTTGTCGGTCAAGAGGTGGACTTCTACCAGCACTTCCTGCAGGATGGCGACGTCCTTGAGCAAGCGGCCGAGCTCCACGGAGGCTTGCAGCGGCATGCCGAGCCGCTTCTCTTCCAGGAAGGCGAGAACTGCCTCCACAGCTCGCCCGGCCTTTTCCTGCACCTTGGCTTGTCCTATATACAAGCCAATGAGCTCCTTCAGGAAGACCAGCAGGGGATTTCCGATTTCTTTGAAAATCGAATGTCCCTGTGAGATTCGCTGATGGTACTTGTCGTGCCAACAGTCGAACCCATCCTCCGTCATCTGCTCCAGTGCATCGGCCGCATGCCAGCGAAGCAAGGCCTGCTGTTGCGGGCCAAGCCTCGCCGCCAGCCACTTGGCCCTCAAAAGAGGGAGCTCAAGTGCTGCATTGAGGACCGACGGGTCCCCTTTGCAGCACTTACATGGCAAGTCGGGAGTGCTGCTTGCCCACAAACTTGGCTCCCACTGCTTCTTGGTCCGCAGGTGCCCGCAGTAGTTGCACAGCATTGCTGCGGCCACACAGAAAAAGCCTGAGAGGCAGCTGAAGGGTCAAGCCTCTACAGCACTATTTAAAAGTGCATGCGACGGCGTAAGGTACACTTCTCGATTTGTGCGTGTCATGCTTGCGCAGGGGCCATCCTTGTTTTAGGGCTGAAGGCTTCTCAGGGGGCCTCACAGGCTGCAGCTGAAGGGTCAAGCCTCTACAGCACTCTATACATGCATGAGCAAAAGTGCATGCGGCGGCGTATATATACTTGGTACACTTCTCGATCTGTGCGTGTCATGCTTGCGCAGGGGCCATCCTTTCTTAATTTTGGGGTTGAAGGCTTCGGGGGGTTATATATGCAAGGTCTACAAAACTAACAGAAGGGTTTGGGTTTTCAGGCTTATATACATGGGTATGTGTAGGACAAAGCGTTCAAGGTTTGGGGCTTTGGGTTTTTATATATAGAAGAGGTTCAGGGTTGAGGGCTTTGGTGGTAACAAAGGTTTATTTTTGTTGTTGTAGTCCTAGTAGTAGTAGTAGTAGTAGTAGTAGTAGTAGTAGTAGTAGTAGTAGTAGTAGTAGTAGTAGTAGTAGTAGTGGTAGTCTGGTAGTAGTAGTAGTAATAGAAGTAGTAGTAGTAATAGTAATAGTAGTAGTAGTAGTAGTAGTAGTAGAAGTATACTTGTAAGTAGTACTATATAGTCATTAATCTAAATACATACAAACATATAACTTTTCGTATTAGATGGAAATATATATAATCCTGGTTATATTAAAGAAAATAGTTGCTATATAGTGGACTGTACTGGTTATATATATATGCAGAAAACCTACATTGCATTGTGTGTTGACTTGTGGAGCAATATATGTATAGTAGTAATATAGTAGTAGTCATAGTAGTAAAGTATAGTATAGTAGTAGTTCTAGTTGTGGTATAGTGAAGTAGTAGTAGTAGTAGTAGTACTAGTAGTAGTAGTAGTAGTATCAGTAGTGAAGATATATAGTTGTATCAAGAGTATAGTAGTAGTAGTAGTAGTAGTAGTAATAATAATAGTAATTGTGATAGTAGTGGTAGTAGTATATAGCAGCAGTAGTTATAGTATATAGTTCATAGTAGTAGTAGTATATAGTAGTAGTAGTAGTAGTAGTAGTAGTAGTAGTAGTATAGTAGTAATAACAATAATACTAGTAGTGGTATAGTAAAGAAGAAGTAGGTGTATAGTAATAATAGTAGTAGTATAGGTGTAGCTGTAGTAGCAGTACTTTTGTAAAAGCGGAAGCAGAGGTAGTAGTAGTAGTAGTAGTAGTAGTAGTAGTAGTAGTAGTAGTGTTATACTATGTGCCGGAGTAGTACTGTACTACCACTATACTCCAAAAAACTACTATACTACTATAATATACTACTATATGGTGCTAGTACATATACCACTACTAATGACACTATATAACTATACTATGCACTCGTTTTCCACTACTACGACTACCAATACTACTGCTAGTATACTACTGCCACTATACTATACTATTCTACTTTTCTACTATACTACTATAATACTATACTACTGTACTACTATACTACTATACTACTACTACTACTACTTCTACTACTACTACTACTATTACTACTATTACTATACTATTACTACTACTTCTAGTACTTCTACTATTACTTACTACTATTACTACTACTACTACTACTACTACTACTACTACTACTACTACTATACTACTACTGCTACCACTACTACTATACTACCCCTACTAGTACTACTGCTGCTACTACTAGGACTCTACTATTATCACTACTACTACTACTATCACACTAGTAATAGTAGTAGTAGTAGTACTACTACTACTACTACTACTACTACTACGACTACTATATTACTACTACTATATACTATATACACTTTTGACTACACACTATATACTATATATTCTAAGGTATATATTATATAGTATATACTATATACTAAAAACCTATATACTAAATACTATATACTATTTACTATATACGTTCTACTATATACTCTATACTTTACTACATGTACTAAAGTGAACTAGATTAAACTTATACTACTACTACTACTACTACTACTACTACTACTACTACTACTACTACTACTACTACTACTACTACTACTACTCTACTACTACTACTACTACTATCACTACTACTACTACTACTACTACTACTACTACTACTACTACTACTACTACTACTACTACTACTACTACTACTACTACTACTACTACTACTACTACTACTACTACTACTACTACTACTACTACTACTACTACTACTACTACTACTACTACTACTACTACTACTACTACTACTACTACTACTACTACTACTACTACTACTACTACTACTACTACTACTACTACTACTACTACTACTACTACTACTACTACTACTACTACTACTACTACTACTACTACTACTATACCTATATATACTATACTATACTATACTAACTACAATGCACTGGCCGTGGTAGGTGGGAGGAGGTTAGGCTCCGTGAGAGGTGAGTGTGGCGTGTGTGTGTGTGTGTGTGTGGGTGCGTGTGTGTGTGTCACCCCTGACCCTGACCAGACACTGATACGGCGCCCCTGACCCCCCCATCCCCCGCAACCTTACTGACACGGTACTGACACGGCACTGACACGGTACTGACACGGTACTGACACGGTACTGACACGGTACTGACACGGTACTGACACGGTACTGACACGGTACTGACACGGTACTGACACGGTCCTGACACGGTACTGACACGGCACTTTTTTTTTTTTGTTTTTTTTTTGGGGGGGGGTGGGTTACTGACACAGCGTGTTTTTTGCATGGCCAGCCAGAACACCCATGCACCCCAAGCCCACCCCGCCACCCCATCCACGCCACCCCACCCCCCGCCTCCAGCCCACCTCAGGCCCAGCGCCAGGCCAGCCCACACACACACACACACACACACCCCACAAACCCCACCCCCAGCCCACCCCATGCCCAACCCACACCATGCACCCCCAAACCCAACCCCAACCCCACCTCAGCCCAACCTCACCCATGCGGCTACATTAACCACCACGTACTACTACTACTGCTACTACTACTACTAGTACTACCTACTACTAGTTCTACTACTAGTACTACTACTACTAGTACTACTACTACTACTACTACTACTACTACTACTACTACTACTACTACTACTACTACTACTACTACTACACTACTACACTACTACTATACTACTATACTATAGTACTACTGCTGCTGCTGCTGCTGCTGCTACTACTACTACTACTACTACTATACTACTACTACTACTCCTGCTGCTGCTGCTACTACTACTACTATACTACTGCTACTACTGCTACTACTGCTACTACTACTACTACTACTACTACTACTACTACTACTACTACTACTACTACTACTACTACTATACTACTATACTATTACTTCGGCTTTGGGTTTGTGGGTTCATAAGGGTTTGGGGTTTGGGGGTTTAGGGGTTGCGGCTTT